CATTAAAAATGTAAGAAGGAGGAGGAGGAGGAGGAGGAGGAGGAGGAGGAAAGGAGAAAGGAGAAGAAGTCGTCTAAGAACAGGTTGTCGGGAGATTTGATTTCTTCTAAGGCCTCACTTCTTGGCTTGAAGATGGCTATGTCCTCCCTATATCTTCACACTGGCTTCCCTCTGTATGTGTCTGTGTCCACGTTTTCTTTCTTATAAAGACAGCAATCAGATTGGAGTAGGGCTCATCTTAAAGATCTCATTTTAGTTTAATTACCCCTTTAAAGACCCTACCTCCTAGGGCTGGGGTTGTGGCTCAGTGGTAGAGAGCTTACCTAGCATGTGTGAGGCACTGGGTTTGATTCTCAGCACCATATATAAATAAATAAAATGAAGGTCCATTGACAACTAAAAAATATTTTTTAAAAAAAGACCCTGCCTCCAAATACTGTTATAAGGTTATAAGATATAAGGTTAAGACCTTGGCATATGAATTTTGGAGGAAACAATTCAGTTCAAAACAGAAGCAGGATTAAGTAAGGATTTTAAGTAAGGAAGGATTTAAGTAAAGGATTTTAAGTAAGGAAGGGTATGAATAGATTCTATACTTCAGAAGTATTACTGGCAATAATATGAAGGACAGCCTGAGGGAGGACAAGACAAAAAACCTGAGCCTTATTCAAGGTTTTTGAAATTATTCCAGGCAAGATATGTTTGGAAAACAGTCTATCTTCTGTCACACTACAATCAACACAGAAGACTTTTGTGACCATAGAAAGTATAAGGGTTTCTCTCAGGCAAGCAAGCAGTTCTGCAGCATGGGATACCATTTGTATGTCCTCTTATTCAGTTCAGTTCTGATGTTATCAATGTGGAAACAGCATCTGATCCCACAGGTTGAGGGTGAGGGCTCAATTTCAAGAGTACCCTCCCAACCCCCTAGCAAACATACACACATCTAGGTGCTACTTTCAAGCCCTAGGTTGTTTATCTGTGGTTCTGACTAGTCTGATATAAATGGGGACTCCTAAAAATCCCTCCTAGGATTCTATGAATTTGCTTGAGCATCTCACAGAACTCAAGGAAACATGTAGGTTTACCAGTTTGTTATAAAGAATGTTATAAAGGACACAAATGAAGAGATGACTGGTGAAGGTATGAGAGAAGGTGCATAGAGTTTCCATGATGTTTTTAAGCATGCCACTCTCCAAAAAATTCCATAAGTTCAGCTCTCTGGAAGCTCTACAAACCCTGTCCTTTGGGATTTTACAGAAACTTCATTATATAGACACGATTGCTAATAGACTGAGTGGGGAAACCCAGCAAACCCCATCTATTCAGATTATTTATAGCTTCTCTGTCATGAATAATCTCAATAGCCCAGAGGATGGCAAAAGAGCCCTTTGGAATGAGAAGGATCTTATAGCCTACTATCAGACAAGGTACATGAAGAGAAGTTCATTATGGCCAAGTTGGGAGAAGATTAGAGTTACTGACACTCTAAGCTAGAAAAGAAATTCTAGCTTCTATATCCTGCCTTTTGGAGGGACTTGCAAACTAAAAACCATGGACAAAAACCAATGTGTGTGTGTGTGAACGTCAGTTTCCTAGTATATAAAATGGGGATGAAATTAATACTTATCTTACAGTTTATTAAAAGAATAAAATGAGATTATACATGAAAAGAATTTTTAAAAGCTGTATACTTGTTATTTATTGTACTTGGTATTCCCAAAAGATATTTTTAGGTCTATAGGTGTGTGTGTGGGAGGCAGATATTCCTTACAGAGCATACTAGTGGCTATAATTCATTGAGTTGCTACTGTGAGCCCTGGCTGTGAGCCCTTGAGTACCCATTTCTTGTAGCAAGGGATTCCCAGATCACAGGAGTTGGTTAGCTACTAGTTATATGAATATTTGAGAAGAACAAAGCTCTTTTCTGGTCTATTTGAATCTTATTACCAGGAAAGGGGGGGAAAAAGGAGGTTTGATTTCAGTAAATGCTACAATTTGGGGACGTGTTTAATTTCACTAAAACAAAGGGAAGAAAACAAATAGACAAAAGCACTGAAAAAAGTAATGAGAGAAAGCCATAAGAGGTAATATGAAAACAAAAGGAGAAATCAGGAAAGAGACTAGAAAAGCAAAAACAAAAGCTTTCCCCAAATGTTTCTTATTTCAGGTTGTATTCATGTCTCCTTCTTAAATACAAGAATCTCAAGGGAGAGGAAAGAAGCTCTTCTTTTTAATATCATTAAGGTTTATGCCTGGTCAATGTCAATTCATTGTTCCTAATATTGTTGGTTGCAAGAAATGATTCCAGGATATTTGGGCTTGAGTTGTCATTATATATAATAATTCATATTTTTATGAATTATATACCTCATTCAGATCCCTCAGATGTGGTAATGCTAAGGAAATGACTTTTAAACTGAAACCTGAAGGATGAGTAAGACTTAGACCTGAGAAGAATGAGGAAAAATAGCCCAGGCAGACGAAATGACATATTTATAGCCCTGAGACAGGAAAGAGTTCAGTTGTGGAGTTCATCAAAGCAGATTCATGTGGTTCATTAAAGCAGGCTCATGAGTCAATCTAGGCAAAGTTCAATAAAAAGATCCTTCTCTTGCTTCTCATATTCTCAGAGTTCATCCTGACTAATTTCTAATGTCTTAGATATGGTCAAGGCTGAAGCAACTGCCAACAGTTCAAATAGCTACCCCTGAGGCCAGGCCAAACAGCCTCTGTGGTGGGGAGAACAAAGAGATTCAGGGAGAATAAACCGAACTTCAGGATCTAGTATATTTGTACTTTATTCAGTATGTCTTCAGAGGGGGACTGCTTAAACTACAGTTGTCTGAATTTTTTTCTAACACATCACCATTGTTTTTTACTGTGCAGATTTTTCTAAAGATTTGATGACCTGATTCCTTTGTCCCCTACTTCTGTGTTTGATGCTTCTACTGCCATCATCACCCCATGGCAATTTCCAGACCAGGCACCTTAGACCCAATTTAGACTCTTCTGTCATTTGTCAAAAACACTAAGTTCTTGAGAGTAAAGCACTGTCTCTCCAATGAGTTGCCTCTGGTTCATTCTCATGGCTAATGACCATGCCAGTCTGCTCAGTTCTCTCTCCAGCTTCATCAATCTCAATCTATCCTTCAAGTTTCTATCATGTTTATCTTTTGACTATACTAATTCTGCCCCTTTCTCAATTCTGAACATTTTCACTGTGAAGGAATCCCCTTAACTGGTTTACCCTTAGACCTTGGAAAGCAGCATCCTTACAGTTAGCTCAGCTTTTGTTCTTCTGTCTAATGTACTTACCCCTCACCCATTTGGTCTTCCCATCCCACAGTTTTGCAGTACTTTAAAGCATTTTTTTATTCATTCATTCAATAAATATTTATTGAGTATATAATTGTTGAATAGCGCTGGGCACTGTAGATATACAGTTAGTAAGACAGAGTCCTTACCTTGTAGAGCCAACATTTTCGCAAAAGGATGGTAAAGATTAAACTGAAATATATATTAAGCCAGAGTAAGACAAGAAAAAAGTGCTACAGCATATTAGATAAGTTCCTAGGATACTAAAAGATTCCATATGAAATTAGACTGGGAAACTAGTGGACAACAAGTTATTCATCACTGATATAGAGTAGGGTAGTAAAGGTAAATTAAGTTGGAGAGGTGAAGACCTTTCATAGAAGGCCTTGAATATCAGCAAAATGAGTTTTAAACACCATTTAAAATTCCTATTTCAGTGTCTCTTGAACCTCAACTACTAAGAAACCATTTAGAAATCTGTCTGAGATCAGTGTACAAACTAGCCTATCCCTTGCCATCATACAGCCTGGCCACTTGCTCAGACCCTTCTCAGTCATTTTCAAAGGTAACTTCACAAGTTTTTCTATGAGTGATTCTTCATAGCAATTAGCAAGCAAGGATATACAATATTTTGATATTCTTATTGTCTCCTCCACAGAAGTATTTGGTCAATATATCAGGATAAAACAAAATAAAATACCTACATTTTCCTTGCCTTAAGGTAGACAGACTAGAACTACATACTACCCATACACAAATCTTGTATAATTTAGGGGAAAGAAAATCATGTTATCCCAACAAAAGAAGTTGTGGTAGAGAGAACAGAGCTTTGTCATTTATTTCTAATTTAGGTTTCTTTGGTCAAAACTGCACGAAAGCATGTGTCAGGGGAATTCAGCATGATTGTCCTAGAACGTGACAGCAGGGCTGCACTTCATCATTCTGGGCTACTCACATCTGGGAATTTCCACTTGAAAAGTGTCTTTGTGCTGTCTGCCTTCTTTCTTACAAACATCTGCTCTGGAGGGGACATGTGGATGGGATGAAGTTTCTGAGCAAGTAGGGAAGGCCTAGAAACAGAACACATCAAAGTATAGACATATTCCTTTCTTCTGATATATTGGAGTCTAAAGATTTAAACTTTGTCCTCTCTAGAAGCTGGGAGTAGTTCCTGGCCTTACAGAAGGAAAAACTGCAGTTCTTTAAAGGGATGTAGAATCAATCTCTCTCTCTCTCTCTCTCTCTCTACCTGGGAATGAAACCAGGTTGCTTAACCACTGAGCAACAAACCCATCCCATTTTTAATATTTTATTTAGAAATGAGGTCTCACTGAGTTGCTTAGGGCCTTGCTAAGTTGCTGAGACTAGCTTTGAACTCACGATCCTCCTGCTACAAGCTCCTGAGCCATTGGGATTGCAGGTGTGGGCCACCATGCCCAGCTAGAAATTCTCTTTGACTAGCAAATATCTGAGCAAAGAGCTGGTCTTCAAGGTCTACTTGAAGGCATTTGTCCACTGTACTGGTGTCTTCTCTGAGGCAACTCTGAGCTGTTGACAGCTTCCTCCTTCTTCCTGCGGCCAAGTCAGGGGCATTGAAGGGCAACAACAGCGCCATAACAAAGGTCCAATAGAAATCTTGGGTTTTTCTTGCTTTCTAAGCTGTCTTGTCTTTCCCTCCTTAGATGTGCTGAAATCTGACTACTTCAGGATTATGTGGAATGAGGAAATTTGGAGCTTCTGCTTTTAAACCCTTTTGGAAATGCACTGGAGACAACTAGTTGCTTCTTATTATTACACAAAGAAAGCTGCCTCTGAAAGGGTATGTGGAGTTAAAGGATATATTCATCATATTTGAAGAATAGCTTACATTGTCTCATTACTCATCCTTATATAAAAAGATCCAAATTAAGGAACTACACACTCCTATTTGTCAAAGGAAAATATCACTTGTGAGTTACCAAAAAGATGAGCTTAGGAGTAATGTTTGAATAGAAAATAACTTTTCAGATGTGCAAGAAAAATCTTTTCCCAAGATTCTCTGGCTCGTATATCCAGGATTCTCTCATATCACAGAATTCTCCACATCACAGTGAATAAAATTCAAATTTCTCAGCATGGCAAATAAGACCCTTTAAGCCCTGCATATCTGACCCTTTTCTCTCTCCAACCTCAACAGCCTTCTGCGCCACACCTGCCCCAATCCTCCAGCCACGTGGAACCACTGTGGAAAGAGCTTTGCTGTCTCTGCCTCTGGGCCTTTATTTGTGCTGCTGCCCCTGTCTGGGAAAACCCATCTCCTTGGTCTATTAAGCTGTGCCTCCCATTCTCTGTAAGCTCCTGCAAGGCAGGGACTGACTGTTCTCTACCATGCCTGATATCTAGCTCAAGGCAGATTTTCCAGTGAATGAAAAAAATCACTTAAAAATATTCTTAATTAATAAAAGCCCAACAGGGCTGGTGCTGTGGCTCAGTGGTAGAATGCTTGCCTAGCAAGTGTGAGGCACTGGGTTCGATTCTCAGCACCGCATAGAAATAAATAAAATAAAGTTCACTGACAACTAAAAAAATAATAGACCAACAGTCTAAGCTGTTGGTTGTCTTGCACAAATGCAACTAGACAGAAGAGATACTGTCTTTCCAGAAGCCAGAGACATTTCTTCACAGTATCAGGTATTCCTGGGTTTTGATACATTTATCATTGACTTGATTAAATGTAGAGTTTCCTGATAAACTTTAACAAATGATTATATTTAAAGAAAATCTATTAAAATTATATCATTTAGAACAAGAGCATTCATTAATCTACCTGAGATTTGCTGTTTTCTCTATGTCAGATGTTTTCTTTTAGGAGTGAGCATGGAACACGTCCCATTTCCAAAAAGAAGATAAGTATGCTTTTGATCACTTCCAGAAAGGAAAATCACTCAGAGTGTACACATGCTGCCGGCAAACTATTAGGAATATTATTTACACCTGTTCAGGACTATCCACAATGAGTATCATGGTCTGTGAACCAGTGGCCCATTCACAGCATACACTAATTTGCCATTCTTTTTTTTAAAATTTGTTTTAATTAGTTATACATGATAATAGAATGCATTTATGCACTTTGATATATTTTACATAGATGAGATATAATTTCTCATTTTTCTGAGTGCACATGTTGTAGAATCACATTGGTCATGTAATCACATATATACATAAAGTAATAACGTATATTTTGTCCTACTATCCTTTCTGTGCCCACATCCCCTCCTCTCCTCTCCCGTTACTTCCCTCTTCCTAATTTAAGGTAACTCTATCCTTCTCTAGTGCCCTGACCCCCTTCTTTGAATTATCATTCAAATATTAGAGAAAACATTCGACCTTTTTTTGGGGGGGATCAGCTTTTTTCGCTTAGCGTGATATTCTCAAACTTCATCCATTTACTGACAAGTGCCATAATTTCATTCTTCTTTAAAGCTGAGCAATATTCCATTGAAAAAAATATATATATATATCACATTTTCTTTATCCATTCATCTATTGAAGGTCACTTAGGTTGGTTCCATAGTTTAGCTTTGTGAATTGAGCTGCTATAAACATTGATGTGGCTCATTGTTCTAATATGCTGATTTTTAAGTCCTTTGGATATAAACCTAAGAGTGGGATAGCTGGGTCAAATGGTGGTTCCTTTCCAAGTTTTCTGAGGAATCACCATACTACTTTCCATAGTGGTTGGACCAATTTGCAGTATATATGACTGTACCTTTCCCTACATCCTTGCCAACATTTATTGTTGCCTATATTCTTGATGATTGCCATTTTGACTGGAGTGAGATGAAATCTTAGTATAGTTTTTATTTGCATCTCTCTAATTGCCAGAGATGTTGAATACTTTTTTATATATTGTTGATTGATTGTATTTCTTCTTCTGTGAAGTGTCTGTTTAGTTCATTAGCCCATTTATTGATTGGGTTTATTTTTTTGATGTTAAGTTTTTTGAGTTCTTTATATATCCTAGAGATTAATGCTATATCAGAGATGCATGTGTAAAGATTTTCTCCCAATCTGTAGGCTCTCTCCTCACATTATTGATCGTTTCCTTTGCTGAGAAGAAGCTTTTTAATTTGAATCCATCCATTTATTGATCCTTGATTTTACTTCTTGTGTTTTAGGGGTCTTGTTAAGGAAGTCAGATCCTAGGCTGACATGGTAAAGATTTGGGCCTGCGTTTTCTTCTATTATGTTCAGGGTCTCTGTTCTAGTGCTTAAGGGTGTGATCCACTTGGAGTTGTTTTTTGTGCAGGGTGAGAGGTAGCGGTTTAATTTCATTTTGCTACAATGAATTTCTAGTTTTGCCAGCACCATTTGTTGAATAGGCTATCTCCTTTCCAATGAATGTTTTTGGCATCTTTGTCTAGTATGAGATAACCATATTTATGTGGGTTTGTCTCTGTGTCTGTATCAGTGGTCTACAAGTCTATTTTAGTGCCAAGACAATGTGGTTTTTGTTACTATAGCTCTGTAGTATAGTTTTAAGGTCTGGTATTGTGATGCCTCCTGCTTCACTTTTCTTGCTGAGGATTGCTTTGGCTATTCTGGATCTCTTATTTTTCAAAAAAAATTATGATTGCTTTTCCTATTTCTATGAAGAAGGTCATTGGAATTTTAATAGGAATTGCATTAAATCTGTATAACACTTTTGATAGTATGGCCATTTTGACAATATTAATTCTGCCTATCCAGGAGCATGGGAGCTCTTTCCATCTTCTGAGGTTTTCTTCAATTTCTTTCTTTAGTGTTCTGTAGTAGAAAACACCAAATAGAGGTCTTTCACATCTTTTGTTAGATTGATTCCCAGGTATTTTATTTTATTTGAGGCTATTGTGAATGGAGTAGTTTTCCTAATTTCTCTTTTAGTGGATTCATCATTGATGTATAGGAATATATTTGATTTATGGGTGTTGATTTTATATCCTGCTACTTTGATGAATTCCTATATTAGTTCTAGAATTTTCTGGTGGAATTTTTTGGATTTTCTAGATATAGAATCATGTCATCAGCAAGTAGAGATACTTTGAGTCCTTCTTTACTTATTTGTATTCCTAACTGCTCTGGCCAGAGTTTCAAGGATGATGTTGAATAGAAGTGATTAAAGAGGACATCTTTGCCTTCTTCCAGTTTTTAGAGGTAATGCTTTCAATTTTTCTCCATTTAGAATGATGCTGGGCTTGGGTTTAGCATATATAGCTTTTACAATATTGAAGTATGTTCCTATTATCCCTAGTTTTCTAGTGTTTTGAATATGAAGGTATGCTGTATTTTTTCAAATGCTTTTTCTGCATCTACTGAGATGATCATATGATTCTTGTTTTTGCTCTTCCTTTTCTAGGGCTTTGAGATGAAGTGTGAGCTCATTTATTTGTTGGTTTTTTCTTTTTTTGAGGAATGACCACC